TTTCGCCAACTTTGAACCTCATAGCTCTTATAGTAATTTATTACTTGACTGAGTGATGTGCGCTTACTTTGACACAAGTAATGCAATCTGCTTTTCAAGTTCCAAAGTCACAGGGCCCCAACTTGTAAGGTATTGGTGCACTTTTTTGACTTGACATTAAATGGCAAGAGATTTTTGTGTAAACATTAAATGCTGAACGGAAATGATATTGACCTCCATGGCAAAAAGTTTTCCTACTGTTCAAAAAGTTTTTAAAAGCTTCTAGTTTTATGTTTGGCATGACAATTTTTAAGAGTTTTTAAAAAATTAAAAGATCTTTTTTGAGATGTTACACAAGCCCGTAACTTTTAGTATTAATTAATCCTAACAGCTTCTATATCAAACTGAATTAAATCAAACAGTCAGTTTTTTACCAAACAGCTACCACATTCTCTTTAAAATCTTTTCAGTTACTAAAAGCTAACAATTATTAAAAAACTCATAAAAATATCTTTTCAGCTAGTTGTGTCAAACATGCCCTTATTCCAGCACAAGCTCTTCTTCCTTCACTGCCGTATCTGTTCACATTGGCCTTATATTATGTAGGAAAAGAGGATTCACAATTACTTATAAATATGGTCTTTATGGTTTACCATTATTGCTCATCTTTAAGCAAGACGATAACAAGTCATTATATAATACGAAGTATATATACGGAGTATATATGAGACATGCAAAAAACGAAAAATCAAGACTAATTAGGGACATAGATGGTAAATATTAAAAAGTTACACTATTATTCGTGATTATAATTTGTAGTATATGTTAAACATACTTCAGAAAATAATTTCTAATAGAAATTACATCAAATATCCACGCTTTTGCAGGGTAAGAATGCCAAGTTATTTGTATCATCAACAACATGCACTATGATTTACTATTCTACGTACTTGCTTTATGAGTCCTTAGATATAAAAGATTTGTTAAGAGTTCCATATTTATAAAAGAATGTAAAGATCTACACCGTATTAGTTAGGGTTTAAACATTAATAACCCAATTACGAACGATACAATTACTTTAATTCGTTCACAGGACCTTCGATTAGAAATAAATCACATTCATTACGTACCTTGGTCTGACATGGTTTCTGGCGTGTAAGATGGACGAATTCCGGCGACGGTGGGGCGGCGGAATCGACGACGGAAGGGGACGGCAGAGGCGCTGTGGTGCTTGGTGGTGAAAACCCTTGGTTTCTCCTCTCTTTTCCTAAAACCTTTTATTTGTGTTTTTCTCTTATGTTATCAGCTAAGGACGGTTTAGCTTATATTAATAAGGGCGAGAGGTGGACCGGGCTTCTTTGACCTAATTAATTTAATCGGTCCGTCAACAATTAAATTAACTGGGTTACTCCCACTGAAAAGCCCAACTTTTATATTTAGCCTATTACCGCAATTAACTAATTTAAGATTAGCTATAGGTCCAAAATAACGTAATAATAATTAAATACTATAACGTATAAGATTATTCTTACATTCTCCCACTTGGACCATAAGTACATCTTCTTACTGTTATATGCAGGTAAACATAAGTTTGCAAAGGACGCTAAATCAATTTAATGGTTCATCTTAACTACATCGAGAGTCCTAAAACAACAATAGAGTAATGGCGGTTCCACATTATTTATTCGACATGGTTCCTTCCATCTACTACTGAATGTTGTCCCATGACAAACGATCCGTATAGGGGAGTAAGCATAAGGGTCTCTTTAATGTCTCTAGGAAAAGACTATTTCTGTTTTTCAACCATCAATCATGTATACAAAACAATAATGTGAAAACAGAATAATTCGGAATATTCATAACATAAAGTGATCAAAACAAAGTATCTTTTCTAAACACTATCAATCCACATAACATAAAGACTAAGTACTACTTTCAAGACCCATAAGGCTAGCATGCATCAAAAATGTCTTGGGTGATAGTCCCTTAGTGAGTGGATCTGCTATATTAGCACTGGTCGAAATGTGCTCCACATATACTGTTCTCTTCCGAACTTCCTCCTTAACTGATAGGTATTTCATCTCCATGTGTTTAATACCTTTAGAATACCTATCGTTCTTCGAAAAGAAAACGGCCGCAACATTGTCACAGAAGATCTTCAAGGGTCTTGCGATCGAGCTCAGAATGCTTAACCCCGAGATAAAGTTCCGTAACCATAATCCTTGATTTGTAGCCTCAAAGCATGCTACAAACTCGGCCTCCATAGTGGATGATGCAATAATGGTTTGCTTAGCACTTTTCCAGGAGATGGCTCCTCCCGCTAAGACAAACACATAACCTAAGGTGCTTTTTTTGCTATCCTCGCATCCTCCAAAATCTGAATCAGTGTAGCCAATCACTTCAAGCTGATCAGAATGCCTATAAGTGAGCATGTGACTCTTAGTCCCTTGTAAGTACCTTAACACCTTTTTTGCGGCCTTCCAGTGTTCCATACCAGGGTTGCTTTGATAGCGACCCATCACACCTACTGCAAAACTGATGTCCGGTCTGGTACAAACTTGGGCATACATAAGGCTTCCAACTATTGAAGCATAAGGGATATCTTGCATTCTTTTACGTTCCTCATCAGATTTGGGGCATTGCTTCAAGTCAAGCTTATCTCCCTTCTGAATAGGAACTATACTGGAATTGCATCCAGTCATACTCAATCTCTCTAGTACCTTTGAGATATATGCCTTCTGAGACAGATCTAATGCCCTCTGTGATCTGTCACGGGATATCTCTATCCCTATCACATAAGACGCCTCACCCATATCTTTTATCTCAAAGTTACTAGATAAGAAATCCTTGGTCTCTTTGAGTAAGCTCAGATCACTGCTGGCGATCAAAATGTCGTCAACATACAGGACTAAAAATGCAAACTTGCTCCCACTGACCTTCAGGTATATACATTGATCAACAATGTTTTCCGTAAAACCGAAGGCAGTTATGGACTTATGGTATTATGGAACTTAATATACCATTGCTGAGAGGCTTGCTTAAGTCCATATATTGACTTCCTTAATAAACAGACTAGGTCCTCCTTACCATCTTCAACAAAACCTTCAGGTTGAGACATGTAGACTTCTTCCTCTAAACTTCCATTCAGAAATGCCGTTTTTACATCCATTTGATGTAGCTCCAGGTCAAAATGAGCTACTAACGCCAAAATGATTCTTAATGAATCCTTCTTCGAAACTGGAGAGAAGGTTTCATTATAATCGATGCCTTCTTTCTGGTTAAAACATTTGGCTACAAGACGGGCTTTATGTCGCTCTATTTGGCCAAGGGAGTTGCGCTTGGTCTTAAAGATCCATTTACTGCCGACTGCCTTATGCCCTCTAGGTAGAGCAACTAACTCCCACACTTTATTTGTAGCCATAGATTTCAATTCCTCACGCATGGCATCAATCCATTTATCAGAATCATTGCCTTTTACGGCTTGTGAAAATGTCACTGGATCCTTATCCAATCCTATGTCAAACTCATGTTGTAGCATATATACCATGTAGTCATCTGAGATAGCCGTCCTACAAGGTCTTGTGGATCTCCTTACAGGAGCCTCAGCTATAGGTGTATCTGCCACTTCAATGACTTCAGGGATGGCAGGAGTCATATTGATGGGTTGAGGTTCATCATCCTCATGTTGTTCCCTTACATCGACAACGTCGATAAGAACTTCATGGTTAGAGATTAGAGGTACAGAAATAGGAACTGAAGTTTCCTCTCTAATCTCATTGATGATGATCTCATCAATTCTCCCACTGACTTCGCCATTCTCTAGGAATTTGGCATTTCCAGTCTCTACTATTCTAGTGCTATGGCTAGGACAGTAAAACTTATACCCCTTTGATTTAGAAGCATACCCGATGAAAAATCCGCTAATGGTTTTAGAATCGAGTTTCTTCTCCTGAGGATTGTAGATGCGTGCTTCTGCGGGGCAACCCCAAACGTGTAAGTGTCTCAAGCTCGGTTTCCATCCTTTCCATAGCTCAAATGGTGTCTTTGAAACTGCTTTACTAGGAACCCGGTTTGCGACATACACTGCTGTCATAAGTGCATGCATCCACAATGATCTGGGTAAGTCTGTCTTACTCATCATTGCCCTTACAACCTCTAATAGGGTTCTGTTACGTCTTTCAGCAACACCGTTCATCCAGGGTGAACCTGGCATTGTATATTGAGCGACAATACCCAAGCTTTCTAGAAGTTTAGCAAATGGACCAGGATGTTGTCCTGATTCATCATATCTACCATAAAATTCTCCACCTCTGTCAGATCTGATGATTTTCACTTTCTTTCAAAGTTGCCGCTCAACTTCATTAATGTATAGCTCGACGGCATTTACTGATCGAGACTTTTCATGCAACATGTAAAGATAGCAATACCGTGAATAATCATCTATAAAGGTGATGAAATACTTCTCTCCAGTAAAGGAGGGAACATCAAATGGACCACATATGTCTGTATGAATGGTCTCTAAAAGAGCAGTGCTCCTTGTGGCGCCCCTTTTGGTGTGTTTGGTTTGCTTGCCTTTAATGCAATCCACGCACGTCCCCAAGTCAGTAAAATCAAGGGAAGGAAGAATGTTGTCTTTTACTAACAACATCATTCTTTCCTTTGAAATATGGGCTAATCTCTTATGCCACAAGAACGCTGAGTTCTCATTCGACCTTACACGTTTCACACCAATCTCAGAATTCAAAGAAATAAATAGAGAATCAGAAAATGATTTATCAAGCTCAATACGATACATTCCATTTTCCAAAATACTAGAACCAATCATATTATTATCTTTGAATAATCTGAAACAACCGTTTCCAAAAGTCACAGAAAAACCAATACTGTCAAGTTTAGACAATGAAATTAAATTACGAGACATTGATGGAACATAAATTGTATCCTCTAAAAATAATTTAAATCCACTACTTAATTCTAAACTAAAACATCCTATGGCTTTGATGGATGCTTCAGACTTGTTTCCCATGAGTAGGTTCCTTTCCTCGCGTCTTATAGTTCGGGTCGAACTGAAGCCCTGTAATGAGTTAGAAACGTGTACATTAGCACCAGAATCTAACCACCAAGTATTGTAAGGTACATTAACGAAATTGGATTCAAAACATACGAAAGAAGAGTACATACCCTTCTTCTCGAACCATTCCTTGCGCTTTGGGCACTCATTCATGAAGTGTCCTGCCTTATCACAGAAATGGCAGAGATCCTTCCTCTTTACCTTCTTAATGCCTGATGGACCTGGCACACTGGATGAGCTGGCCTTACTGCTCGTCCAGTCCTTCCTTTTGGACTGTCCCTTTCCCTTAGAGCCCTCACTTTTATGCACAAAGTGCGCTTTGAGGTATGTTATGACCTTTAGCATTACTTAGGCGTGTGGCTTCCTGAACAAGCTTATTACCAAGTTCATCCACTGTCCATGTTTCTTTTATACTACCTCCGTCCCTTAAAACTTTGCCAAAGTTGACCGGCACAGAGAATAATAAAGTAAAAACTGTGTGGTTGAGATTTGTGCAGAGGAGAGAGAAAAAATAGAAACCACAAAACAATTGATTAAAAGAGAAAGTGGCAAAGTTTTTTGGGACGTCCCAAAAAGGAAAGATGGCAAAGTTTTAAGGGACGGAGGGAGTAGCATTATAGCTCACATGGAACGCCCCAAACTCTTTAGGAAGTCCCTCAAAGATGAAATGTGTTAATATGGGGTCTTCAATTTTAAGCCCCAACTTGAACAACTTAGATGACAAGCTTTGCATATGCATAATATGCTTAGCCATGTCCGTTTTCTTTTCATCATACTTACAGTGAGACAGTTCAGAAAGAAGCTTTCCAATTAATGCCTTGTCAGAAGGCTCAAACTTCTCCTTAAGTTTTGCAAGATATTTCTTAGATGTGTCACAGTCAGCCTCTGTAATTGAGTTCTTAATGTCCACAGCAGTGACTAGGCGCAGAAGGGAAAGACAATTACCATCCTTGTCTTTCCAATCCTTATATGCCTTAAGCACTGCTGCGTCCTTCTCATCAGGCTTAGGCATGGCAGGACCGTCCTCCTTCAAACAATCGCCGAAACTTAACATGGACACAGAGAAATTTACAATCTCTATCCACTCAGCGTAGTTTGATCCAGTAAGCAGAGGAACAGTCGAGAGGCAAGAAAACAGTAGCTTATTTTGGGCAACTGCATAGTTGGAAAACATGCTCAAATATTAGTCTTTGAGTAAACACACAATTAGCAATAATGAATAAGACTTGGGCAATAATTGAGAAACCTATTAATTTTGATTAAACCAAGTATGGCATCTGTGGATAACCTATACCAGCCTATTCTTAATTAATTAAGTATTCTATACTTATATGGTTAAGTCACTAATAGATGTCGGTCCACCTGTGGGTAAGACCTAAGGGCTAGCGATTTATCCTCAATACTTGTTTATTCTGACTTTCACTATCTTAATTGAGTCCACTGTGGTGTAACTCAAACCTAATGTGAATGTCTGAGGCTTATTTAAACTTTAATGAAATCAAAGAAATATGAGGTGGTCCACTGTGGTGTAACTCAACTCAACTTAATAATGATTTCACTCATTCATAGTGTAATAATGCTTACTTAGATTTGAATTTCTTATGAATGGAAGCAACTGTGTGTGCAATCAAATAATCTTACTGAGATATCTCAAACAATTATATTGACTATAAAAGAATGGCAGCGGAAGCATACGGGAAAGCCCCATAGAAAATCCCAAAATCGATTAATTAATATCGTTAATCATCAATTCACATTAGCAATTGTTGGAGATATTTAATTGTGAATCAAGTTGGTCATAGATTAGCTTTATATTTAATCCTTGTATTTAATTAGTGCATGAATTAGATAGAAATCAGGCCAAGTGTTAGGCCCATATAAACAGGCTAAAAGCCTGGTACGCCTAACCTAAACCTCGCCTATAAAAAGGGAGCCGAGGTTTAGGAATAGGTTAACTTCGTACTTATTCTTCACAGCCTTACGCGCATATCTTTCTGTTGTACGAGTTCACGGTTTATCAAAGAAGGTTTTACGTTGATTCATTCTGTGTTCATCCTTACGTTTAATCTTCGTTGTTAGATCGTTATTCATTGCTGTTACAGAAACAGGGACTAACAGCAATCATTAAATACATGCTTAGACACATTGCAAATCACGTATAATAGAACAAAGAAAATTGAAATAAACTGAAGTTTTTCGACATATGTTATTGAGACATATTATATACGGATTAGTTGAATTGGTATGCTCTTTTAATTTTTAAGCACGTTTCTTCAATATTGCGATTGAATGGAGTCGGCACTATGGAATCACAATTGACAGTTGTATTATTTTGATTGATTTAATTGTGTTTTTTTTTTTGGAAAATTTAATTGCTGGATTCCAAAACACAATTAAATTTTCTAAAAGTAATTCAGTCTATTTTGGAACTCCTTTATCACAATTTCAGAAAATTATCTTTGTAGGGGAACAAAGAAAACAATTGGACCATATTGCAAAACCCACTCAGCAAAAGGAAAAGAAGGAATCCAACCCTTCAACATACTAGCAAACCCACGCAAAAACACAAGTCATCTTGAACCTCTTGACAAAATTGGCCGATCAAAATCAACCAAAGCCGACTTAAACTCAACCAAAAGGATCAAACTTTTAACTCAGAACGACAAAGAAAGTCCGATAATCATGGATAAGTTTCTAATCGCAAACCAGGCTCTGATACCACATATTAGTTAGGGTTTAAACATTAATAACCCAATTACGAACGATACAATTACTTTAATTCGTTCACAGGACCTTCGATTAGAAACAAATCACATTCATTACGTACCTCGGTCTGACATGGTTTCTAGCGTGTAAGATGCACGAATTCCGGCGACGGTGGGGCGGCGGAATCGACGACGGAAGGGGACGGCAGAGGCGGTGTGGTGCTTGGTGGTGAAAACCCTTGGTTTCTCCTCTCTTTTCCTAAAACCTTTTATTTGTGTTTTTCTCTTATGTTATCAGCTAAGGACGGTTTAGCTTATATTAATAAGGGCGAGAGGAGGACCGGGCTTCTTTGACCTAATTAATTTAATCGGTCCGTCAACAATTAAATTAGCTGGGTTACTCCCACTGAAAAGCCCAACTTTTATATTTAGCCTATTACCGCAATTAACTAATTTAAGATTAGCTATAGGTCCAAAATAACGTAATAATAATTAAATACTATAACGTATAAGATTATTCTTACACACCGCACATGTTCATCCTATAAAACTTTTCTTCTACAGTTTTATATGAGTGGATCTTATAGCCTTCTCATACATTCACTCCTCATGATCATCACAATCATGAAGTGGCTTCGTCCATCATCATCATCATTACCCCAATGTCCCAATGCCTACCACCTACAATTTTTAAATTCTCTAAATATGAGTAAATATTTGTATTTGGACGGAAATAGCCTCCGGTGCCGTAACATTGCGCAATCGTTGCCATCTTCTGCAATTCATCGCAAACATCTCTTCCTCCCATGGATCTGAGCTCGTCATCGACTCTGGCCTCCCATCGCATAGGCAACCAGGTAAGTCTTCTTCTTCTTCTTCTTCATTGGAAATTGAAATTGAAATATATCAAAATTGATAAGAAGAAATTCTAGTTAAGTATATCTTCATTGGAAACTTTCACATTCATGCAATATTTTTTCCAATTTTATTGATAATTTTTTTTAAAAAAAAGAAAGCAGAGAATCGGGAACAAGGCTACAAGAAGAAGATGAAGAAGAATTAGAAGAAGAAGAAAAAGAAGAAGAGGAGGAAGAAAAGGAAGAAGAGTACCTGGGAGAGCAGAGAGCAGATGACTACGATAACTGCGGATAAAGCCGTTGACGATGGATATCGAAGCTACGATCGGCCAAAGAGAAAGTTGCAGGGGAGAAGTCTGGCGGTTAATAGAGAGTCGATTGATTATTTTTAGAAGAAAGGTAATAAGGTAATCTGGAGTTCTATTTGTGAAATACTACGTATAAAACTTGTAGTCCTACTTTGGAGGTTCAACCATGTTTTAGTCCTATCTATTAGGATAACTTCTCAAGAGAAAAAGGAGAACGTTCTACGCTTTAGCTAAAATTGAGAAAGCTAACCAAGGACATAAGTGAAGCTAAAAACAGAGGGGCTGCGATTCAATAATAATGTCCGAAGAGGAAAAGCTAGGCTCTGCGAATAAAACATCCGATTGAACAACTTCCGATTGCGTATCCATGATCAGATGATAATGCTAGAAGGCGTTTAAAAGCCGGCCACAACGGAGACGGTTGATGCTTTAATTTGAGAACTGGAGCTGCTAATACGCACTATGAAAGCCGTTCAGAAGGCAATGAACATTCATGATGGGGACAAAACAATATACGAAGTATATAATGGATGAGATTAATAATGGAGAAAATGAAACAGATTAGATCTGGAAGACTGGAAGCACGCGGTCTGCTCCATTTGGAGCAGCAGACGGTTTTGCTGAGGATGAAAGGCAGAGCATGAGGAGTTAGAATTGAAGAAATTAGATTGCTGATGGAAGATGAATTAAATTGCTGCTTCGCAGGCTGTTTACTCAAAGATTGGATGCTTTGATGGATAGTTAATCCGGTCCATAAGCTGGAAAACACAGTTTCGTCCATCTCTACTCTCTTCATTTAAGCTTTAATTAATGTTGTGCATTGAGGGAGCAGGGGTGGTCCTGTATAATTGAAGGCAGGGCGAATAAGTGAAAATGGGCCTAATTTTTTTTAAAAATTGTAAGTTTCGTTTTAATGGACATGTAAAATAATAATATTTGAAGACCCTTATAATAAAGAAAATACTTAATTGAATTGAATTCATTAAATTAAACATAGTCGAATCATGTTTTCAAAATAAACAAATACTCCGTAAAAAATTATTTAAATACATTCATGGTTGAACATCGTGAAACAAAGTTATCAACTAAATTAATTAAAGTTGATGCATTTGATCCATCAAAATGATTTTTTTGATTGCTCACTACCAATATTATCAACTCCTAAATTTTATCCTCCTATGACATGATTATTCTGTACAAGTTTTATTTTCGGTTGCTACATTCATGTCCACCGCATTCTCATCTTGAGGGTTTGACATTTTCGAACAAAAAAAATTTCATTGAGCCTTTTTTACTTAGAGCCGCTTCATCTGATCTTCTCTTCCTTTTCTTTTTATGCCATCCAAATTCAACCGTTTTTATTACACCTTGAAATTAATTAAATTTTTAAATTTAATTATAATTATAACATTAATCTAACAAATGAATAAATTATTAAACTCAATATCCTACAAATCACTTAATCATTCAAATCAACTAATTATTTACCATTATTTATAATCATGACGGTGAAAAAAAGAAACATCAAACGAGCATCACCGAATGAAATAACTAATGACTAATCAACTAAAAGTCTAGGATATGAAATTACTTCATAAGTTATTAAGGAATAATGAAAGAGACATGATTGGCAGCAGTTCGTATATCGTGGGAGCAGCCCACCGTGAGCATGCTGCTCCCAAAGGAAAAAACGCGTGTTACTGTTCACGCGGGTGAACAGTAACATTTTTTTTTTGTTTTTTACATTATGCAGTAAAAGAATGATGTAACTCGCGTGTAAAGAAATGTAACTCACGTTGATAAGAAATGTAACTCCAGACAAGTTAAAATGTAACTTGTATAATACAGATTATAAGAAAGAAAACATTGATTTCAATGAAAATAAGGAGTCTAATTGCTCAATTACTTTACATAAATAGTGAATATGTTTTTTTAATATTAAGGCCATAATTTTTTTAAAATCATTTCTTTGCCAAAAAAATCATTTTTTCGCCATTTTTTTTCCAAAAAAAGTAATTTTTTTGTTTCAATAGCAGGTGCCTTCCTTAAATAGTGAATGTGTTCTATTTTTAATATTAAGGCCATTAAAATGTTTTTAAAAAATCACTTGTTTTGCTAAATAAATAATTTTTTTAACAATTTTTATTTTGCAAAAAAATGATTCTTTTGTTTCAATAGAAGGGCTTTATGTTGTGATGTAACTCATGTTAAGGCAAGTGTAAATGTAACTCGCGTATATGAAGATGTAACTCACGCATAAAAACGATGTAATTCGCGCATAAGAAGATGTAACTTCATCTATTATCAAATGTAAACAATGAAAACAAGGAATCTAATTACTCAAATTAAATTATGTAAATAGTTAATATGTTTTGTTTTTAGTATTTAAGTCCATAAACATGTTTCAAAGAAAAATATTTTTTTTTGCCAAAAAAATCATTTTTTTTTGCCAAAAAAATCATTTTTTTTGCCAAAAAATCATTTTTTTGCCCAAACAAATCATTTTGGTTTGCAAAAATTGATTTTTTTTGTTACAATAGCTAGAGTTTATTTTGTGATGTAACTCGTGTTATGAAAAATGTAACCCGCCTTGATGGACATTCTTACTTAGGTCTATGCAAAATGTAACTTGTTGAGATAAGTCCAAATGTAACTCGCGCATATGAAGATGTAACTCGTCCATAAGTAGATGTAAGTCCATGTACCATTAAATGTAATTTCAGAAATTGTCTATAAACATAACTCACACATATGAAATATGTAATATAATTTCATGTTTTACAAAATTTAAATTGAAATAATCATTTTTAATGTCTTAAAAACACTAAAAACGATATAAGATTTTTTTTTTTACAAAGAGATAAGAATTATATTATGGAAACAAAATTATGAGTATGAAATATAAAAATATTACATAAAATATATATTCTATTGTAATTTCAGTTGAAGATAAAAAAGTAGAATAATTGTATGATTGTGAAATACAATATACTTATTTTATGCGAATTAATAAAATTTCGTAATAATTTGGTAAAGAAAAAGTGTATGAATATAAACAATATTGAGAAATAAAATAGTGTATGAATATGAAATGTAATATACTTATTTTATTTAGATTGATGAACTTTTTGTTATGTATTGGTAACAAATAAAAAAATAGATTCAATTATAATTTAAGTTGAATATAAGGAAAAGTAAATTTGCAATTAAATTTTAATATTTTAATTTGATGGAAAAGGAGAAGAATTGAAGAAGATAAAAAAAAAAGAGAAAAGGAATAATGATGCTTGCTCCAGGAGAAAAGAAAAAAAAAAGAAAAAAGATGAGTTGCCTAAAGTGGGATAACACACCATGAGGAAGGTAGGCCGATCCCACAGTATAATTTGACGATAAACGGACTCACTTGAATGGCTGAATAATAAGCGAACTTTTGAAATCTTAAAGCTTGGTCGGATGAATCGGCAGACAAAATTACGGAAAGTTGCCACGGATTATTTGCTAGGTTCTAAAGATGCGTAGGCAACATCGATTCTACTGTTCGGCTGCTTTGTAACTCAAGTGTTTCCACCTGTAGAAATTTTCGTGTATTACCTAGCATAAAACTCAATTGGAGCGGACAGAATTTAGCCGCTAAGCCTTGTGTTTTCTTGGGCCTTCGGGCTATTGGACCAGACTGAATTTAGCTGAAACCTCAGCCTAGTCAAACCTTATACAAAGGAAAATTTCCGGCCCTAATTCTTTTTCAAATTTTTGGGCCTATGGGCACCGCCCCACCTGCCCCCCAGGGCCGCCCCTGTGAGAGAGTATCAATTTATCAATATATTACTTTAATTATATACGGAGTATCAACTAACAATATACATGCATATCAATATCAATATTACATACGGAGTATCAGATTAGGAGAATTGGATAAGCGCATCTCGATCCACATAGATTTTTTTAATATCCAGATAAATACTTCTTTCATTCTTTTTTTAGTTGCAATGGTCAACAATTTATGGCATTTACCAACACACATCTTTAACCGTAAATATATTCACAAATGCTAAATGTACCCCAAAATGTACTCTATTTTTACCTCCGCCCCCTAATGTGTGGCGATAAATGGGGCAATTCATTTAAGTTGGGCACTACTTAAATGAATTGACCCATTTATAGCCACAAATTAGGAGAAGTGGTACAAATGGGGAACATTTTGGGGTACCACAAAGTAATCTCTATTTGTATTTTTTTTAATCAGATTTTTAAAATTTGTAATGAGATGAATTGAACAAGATTTAAAAAAAAATAACACAAAAAAAATAGTGCAAAATGTAGTCGAAGAAGAAATGTGAATAGTGTAAAATTCACCATGTTGCGATTAAAAAATGGAGGATAGTACATAGTATATAATATAACTTAGTTAAGTGTTCAAAAAAAAAAGAATTTACACTCCCATACAAAATTAACTTTGTCAATAACATTTTACGGTTTCATCTCATTTCACTTTTAACTTTTTGTTGATTTTTAGCTGATGCAAATAAGGTATTAGTTAGAATAATTTGAATGAAAAGATGTATACATTGTTAATATAGATTGTTAATTATCACAAAATTAGAATCACTTAATTAATTTGTTAGTTATACGTAAATAAAAATGCAAAATTGCATTTTAGTATACAAAATCAGTCTGCCCCTAGGTGCACACCTGTATAAAAGTGTCAAATTTATAATACGGAGTAATTTCAAATATTCTCTCAGTCTCAGAAAGGTTCGCCGAATTGGCTTTTCTTCGCCAATGATAATCAACTTTGACCAATGACAATTTTTAATACAAATTCATGTAGTATATTAAAATTATATCAAAATGTTCCTTATTCAAAATATTTTCATAAAAGGATAAAATTTATACATTAAATACAAATACTACGTACAAAAAATGAAATTAATGTCTAAAATTTATCATCATTGGTCAACAAAAGTCAATATGGCCAATTATTTCCAAAGGGAAATAGTAACAAAAAAGAAATTTGCATATGGAGAAAAAATAGATATATATACCTTAGTTGCGGAAGTACAACAATCTCTCACTATGGTACGAGCTCGTATCATGCGGGTGGGGTGAGCTGGTAGAAGTTGCTCTATCTGTCCTTCTACATTCCAAGTATTTTTATTGGAATAAAAAAGTGTTAAGACCTGAGGTCCATCCTAAAAGGTCAACCTGATAGGAGGAGTAACTCATGTCTTAATATAACACTTTATTCCTTCACAAATTTCCGGTGTGGGAATTTAACACCTCTCCTCACGACCAGACACATAGTCTGGATCGTGCCGTCATTCATTTTTTCGTCAATTCATCATTGTCATTTTTTTTATAATCGTGTCATCAATTTTTCATAAGGGGCCAACACCATGGATCGATTAGGCTCTGATACCATGTTAACATCTGAGGTTCCATCCTAAAAGGTCAACCTGATAGGAGAAGTAGCTCATGTCTTAATATAGCACTTTATTCCTTCACAAGTTTCCGGTGTGGGAATTTAACACCCCTCCTCACGACCAGACACTTCGTCTGGATCGTGTCGTCATTCATTTCTTCATCGGTTCGTCATTTTTTTTTATCGTGTCGTCAATTTTCATAAGGGGTCCGACATCATGGATCGATTTAACTCTGATACCATGTTAAGACCCGAGGTTCCATCCTAAAAGGTCAACTGATAGGAGGAGTAACCCATGTCTTAATATAACACTTTATTCCTTCACAAGTTTCTGGTGTGGGAATTTAACACCCCTCCTCA